ACACTGTATGAGAACTTGGGTCAAGCTCATCTAACATCACCTTTTTTCATTCTATGTCTCGTTCCCCGCAGTTGGTCAGTCAGTCAGTCAGTATTCACTACTGTACAGTACGTTGGTAGTTGTGGTATGCAAACCTAAGTCAAGTACTGTATATTAGAGCTGATTTCCTCTATTCCTCACTTAGTGACCAATTCACTTAACGACCTAGTCGTAGGAACGGAATTCGGTCGTTAAGTGAGGAGTGTCTGAAGGATTTAATGGTGCTCAATGTTTCGGAAACTTTTTTTTTTTTTATAACCTAAACCTGATCAGTACTTTACAACTTTGTCCCTGACCTGCTGGGAGAGCTCCTTGGTCTACATGGTGCTGCTTGATTGGTGGTGCCCCAGACTGTGGGGCCTTTCAGAACAGGTGTGTATGTATGTATGTATGTATGTATGTATGTATGTATGTATGTATGTATGTATGTACATACATACACTGAGTGGCCAGATTATTATGACCACCTGACATTTGTAGGCAAATTAGCTATAATTTTGCGCTGACGTTGCTAGAGGGCCAGACCATTATAAATAGGGAAGCAGGTTGTTTACCACGACAGTAGGTGATTTTTTTTTCTGAAGATATGGGTAAACAGCGCAATTTAACAGCCTTTGAACGTGGGATGATTGTTGGCGCTCAGGCCATGGAGCGAGTATCAGCAAAACAGCAGAATTCGTTAAATGTTCAAGAGCAGCTGTTGTTAAAGTGTTTAAAGACTGGACTGTCAGGCAAAAATCTGGGTCTGAACGTGCGAAATGTGGCCGTCAGCGACTAGTCAATGTTAGGGCAGAACGGAGAGTGGCAAGACTGGTACAAGACAACAAAAGGGCAATAGTGCAGTGTCAGATTCCTCTCATCACCTTTCAACATCTCGTGGAGTCACGAGGCGGCCCAAAGAAATCATCTCATGGAGTCATTTCGTGGCCCAACGAAGTACTGATGGGGTGGTCATGATAATCTGGCCACTCACGTGTATATAATGTATACACCCACATTATATATACTGAAATCATGCGACTCTTAGAGTGCATACGGGTGGTCTTTAATTGTGATTTTTGAAGGTAATTGGTTGCACCAGATCTTATGTAGGGGCTTCATAGCAAAGGGGGTGAATACATAAGCACTCACCACTTCCCCGTTTATTTTTTAGAATTTTTTAAAGCAAGTTTTTTTCTTGATTTCGCTTAACCATTTTGGACTAGTTTGTGTATGTCCATTACATGTAATCCAAATAAAAAATCCATTTTAATTCCAGGTGGTATTGCAATAAAATAGGTAAAAAGTCAAGGGGGGAGGGGGGATACTTTTGCAAGCCACTGTAGCTCCATAGCCCTGCATTATACATGAAGATGCCAGGGAACAGTCCACAAGCTGGACATAGGGAAGACAAGGCAGGCACTGGCAGCCGGGGAGAGCAGTATTGGAACCTTTTTAGGAGAGAACAACATAAATGAAGGGATGAAATCAATTTATTTCTATAGAGATTATCACCAGGAATATCGACTGACCTCCCAGTTTTTATATCTGACCCTCAAAGCACATGAGATCTTTTTACCTCTGACATATTGTGTCAGTTTCTGAATTCGATTTAAAGAATACGTGTGATTATTGAAAAAAATATGCACCACTCATCATAGTACAAACAAAATTCAGACCTCACATGCAGAGAGCAGCCAGACAGCTTCCTGGAAGTCATGCCAGCCAGCAACACTGCTGTTTACTGCACAAGTCACCCATAATCCAATAGAGAACTATGGTATGCCATTCTCCCTGCCTGGGAGGAATGGGTGCATTATGCACCAGTAAACACAGACTCTCATAGTTACCAGGACACAGAAAACAGGTTTTCTGTATCTCAGGTCTAGTGTTATTGTACTGCTTTTATGAGAAGCACCAGGGATAAAAACACCTGAAACAACTTTATCAGTGCTTGTGATAAATAGAGGATGTTTTCATTGTTTGAGTTGCAAAAGGTGCAATAATTCTTTAAAGAATATTTAAAATCCGGCACCTATAAATTTAATAAATATGGCATATCCAGCATGAACTTGTTTTAAATTTCTTTAAAGCAGGTTTTTAGGTTAGAGAAAAACCCAAATTACCAGTATATTCCTGGGTGCTGTACATAATATTATAGTGTGCAATTTAGTTCAGGCCCAGGTGTCAACTGAGACAGAACATACACTTAGTTCCAGGGTTGTTGAGTCTAATATGCACATGAAATACCTACTTTATTTTATTTTGCAGAATAAAGAGAGAATTGGCAAGGTATCATTGTGGGAGATTTATTAAATTGTTGGGTTAAATGCTTATATGATCCTATATGTGTGTGTCGCTGTGCTGCTCCATTATGACAGCCAAGGTCTGGTCTCCTCTGTACAGTATAAAGTATAAAGCTGGGAGGATTATGATGTATTAATTTCCAGTATTTATATAGCGCCAAAGTATTACACAGCACTCAGAGTACACGTATAATTTAAAAAGTTATTCTGCTAATTACAGAGCACTTGAGTTTAAAGTCCCTGAAAAAGGAAAATCTACGCAACTGACACAGACTTTTAATCTTTTTCACATCTTACTCTCATTGTCCTTAAATATTCTATCCATCAAGATTTTGTAAATGATATATGGCTAAAAAATCCAGTCTCTGAAATGACCAGTACAGGTATTTCACTATTGCTCCGTCTTTGTCAAGTGAAGCTTACAGAATAATCACCCAGTTCTAGATTCATACTCCGTAGAACTTCAGTCTATATACTTGCTATTTTTAGGTACACAAGATAAGGTATAAAAAAAGTATTTTTGACATTTGAATAGCAACACCCTTGCAAACACTGCCAGTGAGTACGAGTGACATGCTCGGGAATTTAAGACTATGCTCGCCTTTTCTTAAAGTAAACCTTTCAGAAATACAGGGCCTTCCACTGGCAACCTCCCTCTGATTGCATTAATGTCCTGGCTGGTATGCTGATCCAACTAGATTTGCAGATCAGAGAAAAGTCAGAAGTATTTTTATTTACACTTGGCCCAAGTCAGCAACTCCAATTTTCTGAAGCAAGAGAGTCAGCATGATAGTCTACACATAGCTAACCCTGTTAAAATTTTAAAGTCACAATTTACATTATTACATTTATGTACAATCCTAAACAGAAATAAATGAGTGCAATTAATTGCAGCAGGCAGCATCCAGGCAAAGATTTCAAAGTGATTTTCAGATGCACAACAGAAGGGACAGAAAATTGCCAATCTAAAATCTCCAATACACTGTGCTTATAAAATCACCAATAGTAGATATACAAAATACAATGCATAAACATCTCCTCTCCTCCAATAGCAGATGATACTCAGAATTGGTGGACACACAATATTAGTTAGATAGCTCTCATAACGTGTCTCCAATATTAATCACTGTTCACAGATATCTCCTCTGCGTCCAATAGCGGTAAGTACTCAGAGAAAGAAGCTGAGCTGCCGGTGATTCCACAAACATTCACTGTCTCTTGCTGCCTTGTCCCAAGGGGAAGCGAGGGGATGGGAACCAGATGGGCTGACTGCTAGATTTGAAAACACTTGAGACCTAGCTCAAGATTGTAAGTTTTTATGACCATTTTTAAATAAAATTTGTGTAAGGATTTTACACAATGCAATATTTAATTTCTTTCTCCGAGTACCAACTGCTATTGGAGGAGAGGAGATATCTGTGGAAAGTGATTGATATTGGAGACGTGTTATGAGCGCTATCTGGCTAATATTGTGGGTCCACCAAATCGGAGTATCAACTACTATTGGAGGAGAGGAGATATCTGTGAGCAGTGACTGATATTGGAGATGTGTTAAGGTGCCAACACACCTTGTGATAATCGTACAATAATCGTGGGAAATCCCGCGATCGTACGATTATCGCAAGGTGTGTGGAAGGCGTGCGACCTCTGCTACTGTAAGGTCGCACAACTTTTATATTAGGAACATGTTCCAAAACCCGCCGAGAATCGTACGATTGTCGGCGGGTGTGTGGCATGTTTTACAAGTGCTATCTGACCATTATTATTATTGAAATCTGTTGAGTGAGGGCAGTGCACATAAGAGCACAGAGTTTTTTGGAAGTGGATTCTGGAACTTTCCACACAAGGAGCACTAGTGGGGCTTTGGAATTATATGAAGCACACTTTTACTGTTTATATATGGACTATTGGAAGCACTTTAGTATGGAAACTTGATGAACCAAAAGGACATTTTATAATATTGTAAAAATGTGAGGCTAAGTGAACACATTTTTGGTTATGCATTGTGTTTTGTATATCTACTATTGGTGATTTAATAAGCGCAGTGTGATTGGGGGTTTTAGATAGATGCAGTGATTTTATACACTACTACACTTGCTGCTTTATTGAGGGTAATTTATTACATTTTTTAGTGGGTAGGATTTAAATAGGAGCGCAGATTTATTGATAAAGAACTGAAAGTTGCCAATGCTGTTTGGCTCTAAGGTGGTAACTTGAATACTCTTAACTTAAAAGCAACTCTGTCACGTAAACTTGTACTTAATTAAAACACAAAGCTGTACTTTGTAGCCACGGCGGGAGGAAACACTGCAATGGGGAGCATGGGAGATTCAGAAGATACTTCAGCCTGATTTGTTTTTACATTAGAGTAGTGTTCAGCAACTTCTTTCTAATACAGCTTTTTAAAGCAAGTTGGTTTAAGCAACAAAGTCCCTTTAGGCACATAAGTTGTTTTTTTTAAAACCTTCCAAAAAATTCATATTGCTCATATACAGCTCAAAATATCTTTTCCCCAATAGTTTGTCCAACTCAATGAAATGTTTTTGTGTACTACAATAGCCTCTGATATGCCACAGCACAATACCTAAATATCTTTGTCCCCTGGTGACCTTCATGTTATCTCCAGAGTATAACAAACCATTTAAACTGTAAAGCACGAGTTACTATATAATTTACCTCCATTGTCTCTTGAAGACTCTCACGCATCTTCCTTAGTTCTTTTTCATACTGCTCTTTCAGTTTATCAATTTCCTGATCATGAGTTGACACCTCTTCTTTCAGTGCTCCCTTTAAAGCAGTGAGTTCTCGTTCTCGCTTCCTTAATAGATCTTCTTGTTCTTCTTTTGCAATTAGCAACTCTTGGACTGCTTGTTTCATGTGCATGAGGTCCTAAAAATGCAATGATATGGACTATATTTACTAAGAGCCTGTACCAACAAGGATCCAGAATAAAATGCTTTTATAATAGTCACTATATTATATCTATATAAGACAAAAACCAAGATCTGCTTAAAAAGTTTTACAGCCCACCCCTCTTCCAAATCTTAATTGAAGCTTTTTGGTTGCACCCTACTACTACTACTACTTTTTTCATGATATGGCTTAGACATGAACAGAAGGGTAAAGAAACTAAAAGCTCACAGCAAGCAAACAGATGCTTGTATTTTTACTATTCCCTAGTAAAACAAGTCCACTGGTTGTGATTGAGAATACAACGTCAGCTTTAATATTACACAAGAACTTGCTTTAGGGTCCTGCTGTAATATCAGTGCATAGCTTTTTATTTTCGCTCTCTATGAAACCAGTTCTGTGGACCTCTGAGTTCAAAGCAATATATCCAAAGAGTACAACTCAACTGGTTCAGATTTGGTGAATAACAAAAAAAAACAACAAAAAATATGATCTACATGATAAAAAGTAAAGATTAGGAAGCAGCAGGTAGGCATTCAGCAAGTGTGAAAAATACATAAAACTGCACCAGCATTACTTCCAATTTAAAGTATAGAAATCACAAAAGAAATATGAGATAAGACTTAATTAAGCATCCTTAAAAGTATTGCTATATAAATATCACTATTTTACAGAAGAACAACCAGCTAAATATTAACTGAGCCTCGATTACTGGCACCACATGGCACAGGCAAGATATTCACAGAAACAAAATTAAGGCTTTCCTAGCATGCCTGATACAACAACTATTGTAAAATGTGCAGGAAACAAAACTGCAATTTGCGACTTTTGATTATTTTAAATTGCACAGAGAAATCTGACTTTTTACCAAAAAGGTAATAGGAGTTACTGTTTTTTGGTACTTTTAGTTCAAAAATCACAATGTAATCCAAAACACATCTGAAAAGATAAAATTTGTCTAAAAGTTTAGGCAAGCAGCTAGATGCACAATATTACCTAACAGGTTTGTACATTTTCAGCCACTCCTGTAATTTACACATTTCTGCCACACTGCACAGGAACAACATTGTACTACTTCCTGCCTCAGCTGTACTACATCCTGGGCTCAGAGAGCAGTTTGGGAGCACTGAGATGACAAAAAAAAAAGCTACATTGCTGAACCAGTACATGGGTGTTACCTGTCTGGGTATGCAGTGTGGCAGGTGTGCATATATTACAAGGCTAGTTGCACAAATCTTTTGGCAGGTGAAATGGTAAACATAGGTATTTAATTTGTGTATTTAGTGGTTTTCCCATTAAGTATTTTGATATGTGTGCAGCTGTGAAGAATTACAGATAGTAGTGTGGTCTCTTTTTTTACCACAATAGCCTTTGTATTGCCTAGAAACTGTGTGCGCTCAAGCTAAAATATATTATAAACGTATTAAATCTGCAGCATTGATTAAACCGTTTTTATGTTGCTCCTATATTGTTATGCATCACTGACCTCTATCAATGCCTCCTTCTCTCCATCATCATCAACAGAGTGCTTTGCATCATCTAATTCATCATGCATTTCTGACAGCTGTTCCTGCAGGTCTCGGATTTCAGTCTGATATTGCTCCTGCTCCATCTTCAACTCAAATAAGCTGTCAAGGAGAGAACAAATGCAGCAAAACAAATAAAACAAAGGTTTCTGTGTCCACAGCATTTTGTCACTTACATGTACAAGATGCTTATCACAACTAAATCAGATTTGAAAAAAA